TTCCCCCCCCCCCCCCCCCCCAACACCTCACCCCCGGGCCTTCACATCTCTAGTGGTGCCCACTAATCAGTCAGAATGCAGTATTCAGGTCTCATACTGCATGGATCACCATGCTACTGGGCCCAGTAGTGGATGGAAAAAATATAAGTAATATCTCTTATTTCTATTTTTTTCCTCCCTACCCCCCCACCTTCCTCTTTCTGGGAGGAGAATAACGTGCAAATTTAGGGTTTTTTTAATTGTATTGTTGTTGCTGCTGAGGGCACAGTGATCGTTTATTTTATTGGAAAATAGTGAGGCTTATATTGGTGTAAGTGATGGAGTTACTGAACAGAGGGAAGAGGGGCAAGGAGTTTGTAGATATGACGGAAGTTTGAGGAAAAGAAAATTCCGGAATCCCTGGTCTCCAAATGTGCTATTTGCAGTGATTGCATGTAGGGGCATATAAGCCACGGGTGTTAGATTTCTTGCTTTGAACAGGAATGTTGGCCAGGACAGTGGGGTTTCCTACTCGCTTTCAAAAGCTGCCAAGCTTTGTTGAACTTTCATATGGATCCAGACAGATACCAAGGGAACAGGAACAAGTGACCTCAGTTTAACATTTTAATCAAATGACAGTCCTGCTAATAAGATTACTACTTTAATTTCACAGTGCATCACTCATCCTGAAAGATCCCAGAACTCTTTACAAACATGCTAAACTGGTAAGCAAATGGTATGTTACATCTGAAGATCAGATTCAAGTGCAAAATGGCTGAATAAAAAAGGCCTATTTATTTCTTAAATAATAAGGCAAACCAACTGCTCAGTTCATGGATTTCTTGCTGGCATTTTCTTGCCTTTGGCCTTTTACCCATTTGTGTCAAGAAATTAATTTTTTTTTTTTTAATGCCCCATTAACTAGCACAGAATCTACAGGGTTCTTCAAACTTGAGTTTCATAACATGTTTGTAATTATTCTCAGTCCTTTCCATAGTCCTGTCCTTCCTAGTGATTCACTGTTCCATAACAAGTTCTTTCACACACTGGTCCACAGAATGGAACAAGTGGAGAAAACACAGCAGTGAGACATTGAGGGACAGATCCTATTTCGCCTTCACACACGTAAGCATCATGGCCATTCCACATCTATGCACCTATGTGGCACTTATTCACAGTTCAGGATTATGTTCCCCCAGTGACAGACTAGGATTGCCTTGTGTATGTGCAGGTCAGAAGTAAAATAGAGCAGGGCAGCACAGACAGCCTGAGTCCCAGTCCAGACTGGCCTCAGAGTTAGGGTGCAGGGCCAGAGTTGGGGTGCTCTGACCTGCCACATAGGGCTTAGGAATTTGGTAGCGGGGGTAGGGTGGCAGTGTTAATTGCTATTGCTCCCCCACTGCCAAATTTCCTGACCCATGGGAAGCCCTGCAGGCCAGATGGTATGGCTTCATGGGCCTGGGGTTGAGCACTCCCTGGCCTACATGGGTAAAAAATAAAAAAAAAATTGGGGGGGGGTTTCGTCTATAGAGAAATAAATAACACCACAGAGCTTTTTGGCCCTTTTTTCTTCACATACTGGATTGTGGTAAATTCTATTGTCAAGCGCAGCTTTCATGAAAATCATGGGAACAGCATCTGTGTAACTCAAGGCAATGTTTGGACCTTTGGATGGGAAAATATATGCTAGTAATCTAGCCCAGTCCTCCTGTCAGGGCACAATTATTTATTGTTTTCAAATGGATTTTTCTGCCACAATATATCATGAACTTGAATATGCTCTTCCTTAATTTGTCATGGTTTTCAAATGTTATTCTTTCTGTTAGAAACAGTAAATAGACCAGTGGTCATATTTACTTTTTAAGTTCTTTGCATTTTAGGATTACTGCTAGAGCAACAGTGCCATCTATAGACTGACCTCCCTTGAGAACACTGAACTCATTCCAGTACTAGTACATTAAGTGCCTTTGAATGACTCTTGTTTATGAGAGGGAAGCTATGTATGTTTCTCACTTTTTAACATAAATAGGAATTTTTCACCCAACAGCCTAGGGTTACAGAAAGGAACTGTGTAGCCATACATAGAAATGCTGCAAAATAAGTTTGGAGGTCTAGCAAGTGAAAAATATTATGTTTAATTTGAAACTAAATGGGAAATACAAGTAAGCAGACTCAAATTGGAAGCCACAACAGTACTTTTTTATGTGGTGTACCATGTTGGTGATGCAAAGTGACTGACTTTGTGGAATATGAAAGACCGCACCTGAAGCAGTTTGATCTAAAGAGTTTCTTAGAGGAAAAAGCGACTATACTAACATAGAAATCTCCTTTACAGTATTATATTGCAGCGTCAGCACTTGTTAATGAGTCCAGGTACCTTATGTAGATGTTTGACCTCAGACTGTCCCTTTCATAACTTTTAAGAGCTACTAACTGGATTATTTTAGCACAAATAAGTGAGTCCTGAAGTGAGCGATATGTTTAAGATGGGGTATTCTCCAATCTCACAGACCTTGAATCTACTCATAGCAATTGGTAGGAAGGTACAAACTGATGTTCTGCTACAAATGTTGTTTGCTTTTATGCTGTGTTGTTTCTAATGATGGAGTGCTGAGGATGCGTGATCCTGCGCTAGTGGGAGAGACTGTCTTTCCCAGATGTCCAAGAAGTTCTACCAGGGAGATAACTGAAACAAATATTGTTCCATAAGAACATAAAAATTGCCATTTACGGAGTCAGACCGTAAGTCCATTTTTGCCTAGTCTCCTGTCTCTCTCAGTGGCAGTGTGTGAATGTTGAAAGGGAGAATGAACTGGGTTTGATCAGGGCTATTTTCCACTGTTCCTCTCTCACTTGCAGCTTAAGCATTTAAAGTTTAGGAAGTTCTAATTCAGAGGCTGCATCTGTAACTCCAATGCTCAATAGCTACTGATGACACTTTCCTCCAAAAATTTGTCCATTCTGTCCTTGAATCTAGCTAAACTGTTAGCTTCCACAACATCTGGTGGCAGTGAGTTCCACACTCTAATTATATGCTCTCCTGGCACTGCCCAGTTTCTTCTGCTTGTTTGCTAGTGAAGAAGTTTGATGCAAGGGAGAATCATCTATTATTTGGAATTTTGCCCTGGGACCAAAGAGTTCTGTTTTTTCTGTTCCCAGCTTTGCCATGACCTGTATAAATCATTTTACTTCTCTATGCTACATTTTCCCCAAAATCAATTATGCATAATGCCTGTGCATATACCAAATTGTCATTCTGAGGTTTAGTTGAATGGTATTTTAAAAAGTTATTTACTATCCCTTGATTTTTCTGGAGGATATTGGGGATTTTTTGTTTATTTTGTTTTTAAATCATGTAATGTACTAAGAAATCAGGACAAATTAGCAAAGCTTCCAAATAATAGAAAAGTTTTATTTATATATATGTTTTGTCTTTACCATCTCCTCCTTTCCAAATTTTTAAATCTTAAAAAACATATCTGAATAAAATAACCTGACTGGTTATTCAATCAAAATATGTATTACCTGTAGACAGAGCTGACCCAAGCAGGGTAGTGGGGCCCGGGGCAAATCAGCCCATGCGGGGCTCTGCTCCCACTCTGATCTCATGCACCCCACAACCGAAGAAGCTGCCGCCACCGTCAGCAGCGGTGGGTAGCAAGTGGCTGAATGCAAAACAAGCGGTGGTGGTGCATAGTCACCGCGGTTGCCTCTCCCAGTTCTGCAGGGCCCCCCAAAGCATAGGGGCCAGGGTGATCATCCTGACTCAGCCCCTCTAGGGATGGCCCTGCCTGTAGAAATATCTTCTAAATCAAAGATCACCTCAAACAAAAAAAATCTGCGTGCATGATAACAAAATAAGCCAGAACAGATCTTCCTTAAAAAGAAAAAGCCTATAAAACTAAAAGGCAAAAATCATTTTTTTTCATAATTGTCTATGTGCAAGTCAGTGTACAGTAATGAGTAAATGCATTCTAATTCCTGTGACTGCATGTAAGAAAATATGAATATAAAAACCTGATTTTTGTAGTACATGGAATCTCATTTCTTTGAAGTAAATGTAACAAATAAGTTTAAAAAAAAACAACAACAAACCCTTGCAGTTGTTAGCAGGTTATTACTGAGGTCTGAGTGGTTGGGTTTTTACTAAAACTTAGGGGTATTTTTTGTTTTTTATAAAATATTTCCCCCATGAAGTAATTCCAACCATGCAGTGTGTCTTGGGGAGCCTAGAAAAATCTGTTAACCTCCCAGGGGACTATATTAGATCTCTGAGTCATGAAATCCTTGCATAGTAGGTGTTTGGTTACAAGCCTTTTATGGGCCCAGCTCAGCTGGGATATCAGTATCTGCATTATAGCTTC